CTTAACAAGTCATTCTGCCTCCGGTCCCAGAACCTTTTACCACAGCTTCCGCGTACCACACAGCGTTGTGTCATAAAAATCGCACTAGGGTACCCTCTGCTGAGTGTGCGGGCTTTCTCGTTGCCCACAAGCTGGGAAGAGCAATGGAGATTGTGGTGTAGTCTAAGGGTGCCCATGGTAATGAAAACTTACCAGAATGTCAGTGTTTTATCTCGATAGTACATCATTGTTTCCATTTTATTTTCCATCCTGTCTGTAGGAATTTCATGACAAAAAATTTTGTTGCTTACCAGAAATAAAACTGATGCTCAAGAAGGGTGCCAGGTGATATTCTGTGAATTCTGTGATATTCTGATATTCACCTCAGTACACATTTTTTCTTAAGTGAGAGATGTCAGTGTATAAACTGAAGTCAAAATACTGCAGCCTAAAGAGTTTCCCTAATCCCTCAAGCGTGAAGGACTCCTTTTTGTGAGGGAGCGTGGTCTTTCAGGATGGGGTATAACTGAGTCTAGGGTTCCCCAAGAGTGAAAATTAGACTACCACAGAAGAGAAACCAGTTATCCTATTTTGTTTTTTCGGAACTTAACTAAATCTCATGTCAGGAGAGATGCTTGGTGGGTTCCACCATGAAGATAGTACCTGAGACGTCTGTGGGCCAAACTAGAAAGCTTTTCCAGTTCAGCCAAGAAGTCAGAAATGCCCACACATTGTAAGATTTCTTTACGGCCTTCCCCATATTTGTTATCTCTGTCCATTTTTCTTAGTGATTTATTCAACAAACAAATGTGTATGGAGCACCCAGACGCCAGGCACTGTTTTAGGCACTATGTATTGAGCCGTAAATGCGACAGACAGAGTCCCGTTCTCTTAAAACTTTCACGTGACAGGGGGAGGACAGAGAAAAAAAATAAAAAATAAAAATAAAAATAAATAAGTGCTATGCAAAGAATTAAAATAGTGACACAATAGAAGAGACAGTAGAGGTTAGCTGTGGTGATTCCACACTGCTTTGCCTGGAAAGGCACCTCACACGAGGGCATATAAAAATGTTTAAATACAGTATTTTAGGAGAGTTTTATCGCATATGCAGTTTTGACGGGAATGAGAAGGGAAAGCAGGAGGTGGTTGGTTATAGAAAAAAGAAGAGGACTCTAGGCTCTCGTGGATTTCCTGGCAGGGAATTATGACCAGTTTAGAGCATTATCTTTTATCAGCCTGTCGTTAAGGATTTCAAAAGCTTAAATATAACATAGGTCACTGTAAAATAATTAGGAAGATTTTTTATAAAGTTGTAAGTAGTTATGTATATAAATAATTTTCTTCCCACAGTCCCTGTGGTAAGGGCTGCCCACTTACTCAGATGATCCTGCCCTTACTCAAAATAGCTTTGTACCTTTGGATCTGTCTTTTGGAATTTGCTTCCAAATTCCTGTTTACTAGCTACTAGCAAAATAATTTTCGTTTAGTTTTATTCTCCTTTTACTTTTTGGCTCCAGGCTTTCCTGAGTTCCTCTGACTATCTCAGTTTCCTTTTTTTCTTGCTCCTGAGGGACCCTGAGGACTGTCATGGCCCCAGCTGGAGGGAGAACTGATTGAGTCTATCAGACTGGATCCATCAGGAGAGGAAAACCACATAGCAACTTAAACAGGGAAAGTGTAAAATGAATAATCATAAATTATACCAGGAGATTAGAGTACAGAGAATGGTTAGTAAGAAACAAAAAGAACTCTAAGGATTCTAAGAAGGGTATTGGAAAGGAGCAGCCTCTACCCTTAGAGCTGTTGCTGAACCCAAGGAAGCAGCCCCCGAGGCCTCCCTGGGGAAGGCAGGGCTGTAAGTCACTGAAGGATGGAGAAGGCACTCCAGGGCTCTGCTGGGGTACTTGCTGGAGCTCTGCGCTCCAGAACTTTACAGAAATCTACCCTCGAGGGGCACCTGGGTGGCTCAGTGGGTTAAGTCTCTGCCTTTGGCTCAGGTCATGATCCCGGAGTCCTGGGATCGAGCCCCACATCAGGCTCTCTGCTCGGCAGGGAGCCTGCTTCCCCCTCTCGCTCTCTCTGCCTGCCTCTCTGTCTCTCTCTCTGTCAAATAAATAAATTAAATCTTTAAAAAAACAAAAACAAAAAAAAACCAACAACAACAAAAAAACAAATACTCTATTTATGAGACAATCAGAACCACCCGCAGGACAGAACAGATCCTGGGAGCTCCTACTTGAGGCCGTCTTTCCCAGGACACATCTGAGCTGGGAAGCACGGGGTAGCACTGAATGCTGAGAAGGAAGCATCCCCGTGTCCAAGGCCCTTTGGTCACTTACTGGAATGTCTCTGTCCTCACCTGGACATTTGGCCTTGCTTCTCATAGACCACTATTGCACCTTAGGTTAAACCCTCTTTAAAAAAAAAAAAGAAAAGAAAAAAAAGAAATCTACCCTCGAGGGAGTCGTTGAAACTGTCCATGGGAGGGGTTCTCACCAGAGGCACTCTGCTACAAAATTGCCCAGGGCAGAGGGAAGCACAGGAAAAACCTTCAAGTGACTGGGTGCCGTTGGCCATCACCGCTGCAGGGGCCGGGCCCTGGAGAAGCCCCAGGTTCTGCCCGAAGCTGCCGAGTGAGCTCGCCAGCACCAGGATCGGAAACCCCTTTGTCCGCCATGCAGTGTCTCTTCAGTGTCCTTTTAGACAAAGCTTAACATCATGCCAGTTAGCAAAGCAAAAACAAAGGGTACGGATTTATTTTCAGAGAACGAGCAATTAAGGGTGAACGTGAGGCTGGAAAACAATCAAGTGATAACCGGCAAAGTTGGTGAGACCGACTTTGGGGTTACAGGGAGTGCTTAAGGAGTCAGACTAACTCCTGCATGTTTGCATGTGTTTGTGAACTACCTGCCTGCTAGAAGTAAAACAATGGAAAGGAATACAGACCAAATATACATCGCATCATTCCCAGAGGAAAAGAAGTAAACATGTGAGTGAAGGGTGTGTGTGTGTGTGTGTGTGTGTGTGTGTGTGTCTTTTGTCTCCATCCTCCTGGCACAACGGCTTTCCTAGAAAGGTGCCAACACAGCTTTCGTGAAAAGCTCTCTCCTTTTTTCTGAGATGGTACTCATTGTACTGTTTGGGTTTTCAAAAGACCTTAATAGTTACATTTTTTAGCAAAGTAATGGTCATGTGGAAGATTGTTTTTGTTGTTTGGGGTGTTTTATTTGTCTTAAAATTTTCCCTACTTGACAAAAAAAGTTATCAATCTTGTATCAGTACTCTTTCCATTAAAAAGAAAATTATACTAGTCTGTGAAATTCAAGTATGGAGAACGTTGCACCAAACTAAGAATTTATTGATATAAATTGTGGCAAGTCACTATAACCCGTTTGTGAAATGTATAGTTTTACATTTAGAAGTCAAAGCAACAGCTGTCACTTTATGCTCAACCATAAAGATCTATAAACTTATAAACAGGACTTAAATAATAACTAAGGCCATGCACTTAAGGTTCATTGTCTCTGCTTAGACTAACCAATAATAGTAGTATTATCACTGTTTTCCAAATGATGAAAATCAGATGGAGTTAAGTAATTTTTCCAAGGTCCTATAACTGCTGCATAGCAGAGCCAAGATTTCAATAGGAGTCTGCCTGGCTCCAAAACATTTCAGGATTTAAATAGATGTCTGACTGCCTCCAAAACTTTCTAGCATCTAGGGAAAGACAAAAACTGAATTAAGGAGTTAGAAAATGGAATTTTCAAAATATGCAAGACTAAAGGATCACATTTTTTTTCTAGAGAAAAGAAATGTAAAAAGGGAATTCATAACTTGTTTGCAAAGCTTAAGGAATATCATGCACGTAGAATTCAACCAGTTTTGATTTCACGGAAGCAAATGTAAATGTAGTAGATTATATATAGTAATGCAAGTAGAAATGTGTTTTGTATTGTGACTATACATCAGTGTATCAGGAGGGAATACCTTTGTTGCATTTTTGACTGCAGTGCCTTTATCCAGTATGGACTTAGCTGCATCGTGTAACAGGAAGTGCAGATGTGGGGGTTGCTGAGCGTTGTTTCACTAACTCAGTATTCAGGCCAACCTCGCTGCAATTCCCTTGGCTTTCCTCTCATGGTTATACAATTGCTGCTACAGTTTCTGCCATTATATCTCCACCCAAGAAAGAAGGGAAAAAGAGTGTGCCAGCTACGAATAACTCATTTGATCAGCTGATACATCCCTAAGTGACTCTGGTTTTGTTCTCATTAGCCAGTTTTGTGTCAAATGTCCTCACCTCTAGTTTCAAGGGAATTTGAGAAAGCATGCCTTCGCCATGATTAGCTTAGACTGTGGATCAGACAGATTGGCCCCAGGACCAAATTCAGGCCCCCCTTGTTGTTATAAATAAAGTTTTATTGGAACACAGCCACACCCATTCATTTATACATTGTCTGTGACTGCTTTCACTCTATAATGGCAAAGTTGAGTAGTTGTGGTAGGGACCATATGGCTTTTAAAATCTAAAAATATTTGCTATTTGTCCTTTTACCAAAAATACTTGCTACCCCTGCCACAGACCAACCATGATCCATTGACTGGCATAGACCACATGGATGCTGGGGCTAACTGAGCTTCCATTAAGCGAGGATGAAGGAACAAAACAAATGTTGGAAAAGAACCAACAGCGTATGTCAGGTTACCTTGTCCAACTGATTATATACTAGACGAAAATAGAATATATTTTCTGTTTTAAGTCACAGGGTGACTTTGAACATATAATTTTTCTGCTCCTTCATTTCTTCATGAGGCAACTAAGAAAACTTAGAAAGGTAGAAATTTTGCAAATACTGTAAACAGAATCAAATGATTGACAGTGTTGTGATCTATCATGAATTCAGGAAGGTAATCCCTAATTTACTGACTTTTATACAGTACTGTCTAAGATGTTGTCAGACTAAGTCTTAGACACACATTTTACTGATTGACACTTCCCTTTAAACGATTTATTTTAGGTTCTTGCGTACACTGAAGGACTTCATGGAAAATGGATGTTCAGCGAGATACGAGCTGTATTTTCAAGACGTTATCTTCTACAAAACACTGCTTTGGAAGTATTTATGGCAAACCGAAGTAAGGCCCCTTAAGTATTTGGAAATAAATGTGCTCATATTTGGATGTTATTTATTTACATGGTGTGATACAGTCTTCATTTTTCCCTGCTATATTTCTCTCTTTGATATGCCCTCATTAAAACAAAAATAAAAGTAAAAGTTAATTGGCTTAATTAAAAATGTTAATCCTAGATTTCTCATGGATAAAGTTATACAGAAAGCTGATTTTTTATGAAGATTCATTACCTCTACAAATAAATCATGAGAGGCACTTGAAAATGATTTCTGAAATTGATGGTTAGCTCTCCTGTGGTTTTCTAAATCATGTTTTTTCTTCTTACCACAGCCTCGGTTATGTTTAATTTCCCTGACCAAGCAACAGTAAAAAAAGTTGTCTATAGTTTGCCTCGGGTTGGAGTAGGGACCAGCTATGGTTTGCCACAAGCCAGGTAATTATATCATATTACACGTTATCTGTGGTTCGTTAACATACTTTAATCTCAATATGACAAATATAAATAAGGTTATACCATTATAATTATTTTGAGAACCAAGAAATTTTTCTCTGTAAGCCATTTGTATGGAAAGAGATTTGCTATTTTAAGAATGACAGAATAGTTTGTGTATAGGTTTCTTTAACACATATATACATGAGAAAGCAAAAAAGTTGATTGCATATCATAGCTAGCATATAATTAATACATTTTTGCTTAACATCTTACAAAAAATATGCCAAAAGCTTCATGGTATTTGTGATTAAATTTTCTTTAGTCACACGTAAGTTTTTGTAAATGCTATGTATACATGCTTCTTTATGAAAAATGAGAATTTATGGAGATTAATAGTCGTGAATGATGAGGTGCTTTTAGCCATTTCCTAAATCTTTCATCCTATTATTTTAAAATATCATTTGAAATCTTATTTTATTGAAAGATACTGATCTAATAGATAACACAGTCAGTAATTATGTGTATCACTAAATTCAGTTAGTCAAGTAACTGAATACCTGTCTAAAAATGGCTTAAACAAAAGGATGTTTTGCTGTTTGAGTCTTACTTTATAAAAGGTCTGGAGTTAAGGAGTTGCCAGTCCTGGCTCAGAGGTTCAGTGATGTGAGGAGCCTCAGTTGACTTCATATTCACAAAATCACCACTAGTGCTCCAGACACCACAGTTTCACCAAATGCTTTAGGTGGGAAAAGGCACAAAGGATTTCTCATTGAACTTCTATGTTTTAGGAAAGAATATATTTGTCAGATGCCTCCCACGTCTTTATCTCAGGTCCCCTCAGCCTGAATGGGGTCACCTTCCTGTCCTTAAAACAATCACTGCCAAAGCAGAGTGAGTTGACTGACTTTGGCCAATCATCCCCTGGGTAGGACTCAGGGTAAACTATACCTCTGAACTCCTTGCCACCTCCTACTTGAACAAAATAGGTCTCCTGGTGGCAAGAAAGAAAGAACCCAGCTTTGGACAAACAAACAACAGTGTCTTCTTCTGCATGGCCCACTGTGTCCATGGGAATTATTGCAGAGCCCAGCATGGAGGGAAAGAAAAACTAATCTTTGTCCATCTTCCCTTAAAAAGGCTACAGACATTTAAAAGACACGGACTGTGTCTTATTTCTCTTTCTTCCAAAGCACCTAGCACAGTGCCTAATTGCTGAGGTGCTTTCTAGGTGCTACTCAGCTGGAGTTACCTTCCATCTCAGTGCACCGGCTCTCATATTAAGCTCACAGTGTAAGACCAGTTCACTGACATGTATGTACATGCTAGGCTATTTACTAGCAGAATGACAAGATTAAATTAAGACATTAGTGGATAATGAAGAAGTACTTCTGTAGAATTCAGGTCAAAGGAAAAAATGCATTTAATCTATCAAAAAAAAAAAAGAGAATGAGGTTAGTTTTGCCAGACTTGTTTTTACCAAATTGAAGCTAACGCATGTAATGACTGCTTCCTTTCCCAAGTGCTTTCAAACTGTTTGTTTAATTGTCAATGCAAGAATTTTTCCAGGAATTGACATTAAGAACTGACAAATAAATTTCATCCTTTTTTTTTTTTTTTAAATGATCTTCTGCCTCCTGACATCTTTCTCAATGATCATGGTTCTTCAGAGATTACCAGTAGGGGTTTCTCAATGATGTGTATAAGTTTCTTCCATGCTTTTGGACTTGTCTGGACCTGGGTGCATTTAAAACAACTGGAAGCTCTTGTATTCTCTCCCTTATCTATTATGAGTGTAATTCCCTTTTAAGCACCTTTGGTCTCCCTTTGGCTGTTGGAAGATTATCCTTCTTGATTGAAAAACTGGAAACAAAATAGATGTTTAGTAGTTTGGGGTTTGCTGTGGCTTCAAACAACCATTCTATCTTAAATCCCTCTGGTCCTTTGTTCCCCTGCACACCCCAAAGTCTTAACTCATTCTTAGTTTCCTAATGATACTCTCAGAAGTTCAATTTTACGTATTTCCTGTGATATATAGCTTTGGAAGCAGCAGATGGGGGAAGGAGAAACACTGAATCTAGGCTGAGTCCTGCCCCTTACTGGCTGGGTAACACTAACAGAGCCTGGTACTTAGGAGAAACTCAATTCATATTAGTGGAAAGGATGAAGAACACTGGGCAAGAGGAATGACACTTTCATCTGCTATAAAATGGAGATGGTATCCCTGAAAAGAGATGTTTTATGAATGTCTTGAGATCATAAAGTGAAGACATTTTGTAAACTATTAACACATACACTCTGTACATGTATATGCAACACGTACACACAGATACAGATAAGTAGGGAGGTGGGTAGGAGGGTAGGTAAATAGATCTATGCACACACTCCCATAAATACGTGTGTGCGTGATATGTAAGTCCTGTTATATTTAGAGAATTGTCAAAGAGAAGGGACGATGTCTGGATCCTACCAGTGGAAGCCTCCTAGCTGAGAGTATCATGGTGGAATCACCAAGAGCTTCATTCTCTGTTTTGTTTTCTTGACATTGGGTTTTAGCAGTTTAAACAGAGTTTATCAGACTCTAGGGAACTTACTCTAAACTAAATCCGTAAGATTTATAAACAAAAAATAGTTTACCAAATTCAAAGGCAGGTATACTGCTTGAATAATTGACTTCGTGTATCATTTAAGCCACTTCTTGGGCAAGCCCACCAAAGAGATCACATTACAAATCAGATTGTTGCTTTTTGTTCTTTCTTTCTTTCTTGTTGGTTTATAAACAATAAAAACTAATTTCTTGACATTCTGGAGGCTGGGAAGTCTAAGATCAAGATGCCAGCAATTTTAGGTTCTGACCAGAACCTGCTTCCTGGTTCACAGATGGCCATTTTCTCCCCATGTCCTCACATGGCAAAAGGGAGCTCTTTGCCCTTAAAATTCTTAAAACAACCACATTCCTAAAACACTGTGATTCTTATCCCATTTTACAGAGAAGAAAACTTTGGTTTAGATAAGTTACTTATCTTGCCCAAGATCATAGCTCATTCTCAATTTCTATCCTGTGTCATCTGTCACAGTTTCCTATGTTGGTCATAAGAATAACACCTTCACCCCTACACAATGATGGAAAAATACTGGCAAAAATATGTCCATATTCTAGATTCCATGTTGATTATCAGTGTTTGGTTAATGTATTTTTCTATTCAGATGGTACAAGCAATTAACTTTGGATTTAATCAGATTCTTCACTTACTAGGGATACACCTGGTTGTATCCATAGGATTGGTGATTTTAAATGGTCACCTTTTGTTATGGTACATAATAGATTTTATTCTCAGGAGGGCAATTTTGCCTTCACCTTATCCCCTGCTTCTAAAAGCATCCTACTATAGCTCCAATCATACCAGCCATCCTCATTCCACTATCTAAAGTTGTTATGGGTTATTTGGGAAAGCCCTATTGATTTACTGTTTTCCATTTTTCTTCTTCATGTGGTTGAGTTATTTAATTTTTTATCATCACCTTTCTCTTCAGCCATTTTTTCTTTCAGGGTGACCAGTAATTCAAGTCATGTAGTATCAAGAGCACACTATATACTAAGCATTGCTAAATGCTCAGCATATAACAATAAGTAAAACAAGGCTCCTGCTCTCAATGAGTTTATAGTGGGAAACACAGAGCAGTAAATAGGAAAAGCTAATCCTTTCCCCAGACCTGCTTTTCTCAATTCGTTTCCCATGGCCACATTCCTCCTCACAGTCACATACTCTAAGAGTGACATAATAACTTTCCCCCATAATTTCTGTTATTTATACTTGATAGGATTTGTTTGATTTTTGATCTGGTGGTGTTTTTGATGGTCAGAATTATTTCCAGACCAGCAATTTTCTTCTTTAATTGTTTGGGTTCAAAATGTCAACAAAAGAATTTAAAACTTTGTTATATGCATTGCTTTTAGCAGACTTACCTGAGCATGCCACAGGTAAAAATTTTAGTCAGAATAGTGAGAATATTATTATAATAGTAATACTGTGCAAATTAGACTAGGCATACAATTACAATAGTAGCACAATGAAAATTGGACTAAGCATAGCTTATTAATTCCTTGATAATTCAGAGACTAGCTTAGCATGTTGCCATGACAACATCAGGATCAGGGCTAAAATTTATAACATAAAATAGTTGTGTGAATGGAAGTATAGCTGGGAAGATTTTGAATATCGGTACCAGTATGGATCAAAATCTGGAAGCACTGTGAAAATCATATTGCAAACTAATTGAGGAATGTACTGAATTTTAGAATTGAGGTATGAAACATATAAACCATTTGCCATTGCACTGAAGTGAATCATTAAACTCATACAGTTCCTTTGGAGTCAGTAGGAGTCAAATATATGTTGCTAAGAAAGTTCTGCAAAAATGTCAATATTTTAAACATTGAGTTACACCTAATTATTCTGAAACTCTTAATTCAGATTTAAATTTGAGATAAAAAGTTCCTTTCTGTCCCTCCTTTTCTTCAGCTAACACATATTTTAACTCCTACTATGTACAAAATGGTACCTATTAGGATTCCATGTGAATAAAAAATTTGATACTAATACATGAAACAGAAATAGTCTTAAGTCAACAGTTCCCAAACTGAGCATGAAGGAAGCCTGGGATGTCACAGTGAATTCACAGGGTGCTGCAGGGCAATTCGTCCTTTTCAAGGAAACAGAGCAGCATCTCTCAGTGCACAGACAATTAGCTGGAGTTAGTTCTACATTTCAACAGTAGATAGCACTGCACTCTTTCCAGTGACGTCTTAGCTTTGTGAACCAGTTTTGGGGAGTTGCTCTGATAAGAAACAAGAGCTGCATGAAACTCCAAGTGGAACAGGGGATGAAGGTGGTGGGGTCCGATGTGACTCTAAGGCTTCAGAAGCTCTGCCGTGTCCAGCAGGGGCACACAGCCCTGTAGTAAGTCGTCGTTGTTATTTAAGAGTAAAGTAAAAACACTGTTTTTCTTTCAGTTTAGGAGTATTTTCAAACAGCTACTGAGTTGTTAAGACTTAAGTATTATTTAGATATAACTAATTAATAAACAGAACTGTTGGGTGTTTCTCCTGGCCTCAGGACAACATGAAAAATTCCCGACACACTAAGGGTCTAATGAATTGAAAAAGTTTAGGAACCTTTGTCATAGGTAATGATCATTCTAGAAACTCAGTAGCTTTATCATACTTTTACAAATAGAGTTCACTTTCATTTCTTAGATAAACACAGTGAAACTTAAAACATTCATCATTTACACAAACTGTCCTGATTTTATTCCCTTAAGCTATTCCCGTGTCCCTCCTTCTGAATTCATATGTTTTCAAAGTTCCCAGCTTGTAGTTTATATCATGAGAGGGCTATGTATGGTGTGGGTAAAGGCTGTACATAGATGCACACTCTGTGTGTGGTGGGGGCGGTGGTAAGGGGTAGAAGTGGCCGCCATGATTATATGAAGTTTCAGTCAAATGCTTGCAAGATGGTACCTGACTACCTATACCTACTTAGCTTATTAGCATGGAAAAGATTTGCTTACTGTTGAAAACCTGCTTAATTATCTTGAGTGTAGTTTTACCTTTTCATTCTTGTTGACTTATAAAATACCCATTTGCAACCATATTATACAAATAGGTGTTTTCATAGTGGTTTATCCTGAGTCTCTAAATGTATCTTTTCTATAGTAGAATTTTTGAAGATTGCTAATATCTGCAATTAAGATGTATTTTAAATTTCCCTAAGGATAAACCATAAATTACTTTAAATGGATTGATATTAAACCAATGTGTTGGTTAATATTGATTTTTAAAAGTCATTACTTAAAAGAGACTATGTTTGTTATGGTTTGCTTAATTGCTAGGAGGATATCACTGGCCACTCCTCGACAGCTTTATAAATCTTCCAACATGACTCAGCGCTGGCAAAGAAGGGAAATTTCCAACTTCGAATATTTGATGTTCCTTAATACTATAGCAGGTAAGACATCTCATTCTTTCATTTCATAATATGTTTGTGTTCATCAAAATCATCGGTAATATGACTTGATGGAATACATTTTTTTCCTTGGAATTCAAATACGGCATTACAATAAATACTGAAGCACTCATGTTAAATGTTATCAGAAACTTCACAGGCTGGTACTGAGGCTTTAGATGCATTTGTTGTTGAAGAGGCTTTTCCTTGCTCTCCTTTTGCCATTTCCTTTGCTGACAGCTTTGTCTGAAGGTTTATTAGAGTCAACAAACCATTGCCAGAAAGTGTCTGGAAATAATAATGGGAAAATGTAATTTCCCTACTTTGTCATTCTCAGCAATAGCAGCTAGACGGGATAATAACAACAGGATTCTGCCTAGTACAGATGTCACCTGGATTATGGCATGATTGGGTTACAAGATCTTTTTTTCTTAAAATCTTCAAATAAAAATATAAAATCAGATTGGATTTCTAAATGATGAGTAACTGCCATCAACCTCAGCAGTACCATGCTTATAAATTAGAAGAAGGCAGTGGCTTTGTTTTTCTGCTAAATCACAGGCTGTCAGTGGTTAAACATGTTTATGAGATTTAAGTACCTCTTTCTTTTTTCCTAAATTAAGCTCCAGAAGCCCTTCTTGTTGATTTACAAGAAGTTTACTTCTATAAATCAGGTTCTACAAAAACTTTTTGGAATCAGATGAATTGAAGTAACTACATAAATAGACATGCTTCCCTTTGGTTATTGTTCTATTATGAATAAAGGCTCAGAAGCATGAATTTAGAGCCATGTTCTCTGAATAATTGCTTAAAAGGATAAGTGTGTAATAGCACTCTTTAAATCGATCATATATGTGTAAATATGGATGCTTTAGGGATATGCATATTAAATATGGGAGATACAGATGTGTATTAGATAGGCAGGAGAACGCAATTTGTGAACAAAAAGGGATAAAAGAGTTGTTGGAGATGGTTTTGCACTTTAATCACTTAAAACATTGTAATGTTAATACCTTTGCTAATAGGATACTAGAGGTACAACCAAAGGATTATTGCATAAATTTTAATTTTAGTATTTATTAGCGTTTATTTAGTATTTATTTTATGCACACACATATATATACACACACGTATCTTTATGATATTCCCATCACATATTTCGCATATATACGTGTGTATATATATATATATATCAGTGTACATGATGTTTATATCTTAAAGAAACCTATTTACTCCCTCAAAGACACAGGAAATGGGTTATACTGTTTAATTAGCATTTCTTACATGGATAGAGTGAACTTAAATATCTGAAATGTAAAAAACTTCATTAGCATATTCAGCTAAGAGCATAATGTAGCAGAAAGAAGCTTCAGCGCCAAAGAGAAGAAAGACAGACTCTCAGATGTGCCAACTTTGTCCTAGAGCACAGGTGGAATGTCAAGTTTTGACCCCATCTTGGACTTCAGTCTTTCCATAACCATATTTAATATGTTCACCTCTGTCATAATAAGTGGTATGTTTGGTCTTCTATCACCTCATTTTATATTATTGTTTTTAAAATTTTTCCTTGTTTTTATATTTTGTTTTTCTTTAGCCTTATACATTTTTGCCCAGTTTGTTAGTGATTTAGAATGTAGACATCTTGTCATTAATTCTCCTAGAGACAGGTTTAAATTTTTTAAACCCTCTAAAGTATATTTCTCTTCTTTTTGAACTCAAAAACGAATCAACATTGAATTCTCAACTTTAACTCAATTGAGTCCTCATTCATTGCCTACCTCTGTCAATATGATTTACTACACAGGATCCATATTCTTATTAAACTCTTACTTTTTGGAGTCCATATATTTTGCATATTATGAAGGATTTCAAACCCTATTTAAATTTTCTTCCTGTTAGTGCAGTATATTACTTTCAGCTACATGGCTCTTTACCTGATTTTTAGGATAATGTTCTCTTTCCAGTCTTCTGCAGTATTTTTCCATATTCGATATGTTAGGCTTTTGTGTTATCCTCAAGAAATATAGCAATGCTCATTGTCTACCATGTGTCATAGATGGTCATATGGTTTTTTCCTTGGCTGTGCTAGCTGCTTGGAGCTGTCGTATGTAAAACTGGAAGATGAGGGTCAGACTCACTCATGGCTCAGTTTCCAGTGGAGCCGGCATTCATATTAAGCTGTTCTGCTTGTCCAAGGTGGGATTCTCGCCGTCTTTCTGGTTGGAATGTGGTTCAGTTCATTGTATTAAAGGACTCTTCTGGTTTCTGTCCTTCCCCACTACATTTTACTGATTTCCGATGTACTTTACAGTGTGGTACAGTACCACCTACGGCCACTGTCTGCCGCAGGCCTGTTGCTTTCTGGGAGCTTCTCCATCAAGCTGGGAAAGATTGCAGTGTGGAGAGAGGTATAACATTGTGATCCTTTCTGAAAGCTACACCTGGGCAAGACAGACACTGTTGTTGTTTCATTTTGTTTTTCTGGTTGAGACAGTCTTTGCGTCTCGGAGCTAGAGCATGCACGTCATAAGGGGTATTTAAGTGCCATTCTACACTCTTTTGAATCATTGGGGTCTGTTTTATTTGATGACACAAAGAATGTAGAGGCCACTGGCTTTTTTTTAAAAGACTTTAATAAGCTTCTCCTTTACAGTGATTATAACTAAACATTAAAGTCTGTCTGTTGTAGACAGTGGATTAAAAAGAAGTATAAAATTGGGACTAGGAACGCAGAGCACTTACAACTGGATGGGTAAATGAAATATACATAAATAAGAGAGCATTTTAAGAGCTGATATTAAGTGCTGAATAAGAACTGTAAATAATGAATGCTGTGAGAGCTAAGTAGAGTGGAGGAATTTTAAATATGTGTTTGTCTAGGCAGGGAAAAAAAGAGCAGAGCTTTACAAATTTCTGCCAGTCGGATATGTGATGTGTTCAGTGGACATGAGAATCATATCTTGGCTGGAACAGAGAATAAGAAGAGATAATATTGGAGCTATCGGGAAGAGCCTGATTGTAAAGAGCCTGATCTTAGAATCTTAGGAGTCAGTGTGATTTTGGAGTAGAAGGGGATGCAGTGTGGAGTTTTAGGAAAATTAAGCCAGTAACTGTGTATGGCCTGAGCCAGAAATGAGATAGCCTAAAGTTGGGGAGAGCTGTTGATAGGAGAGTTTGACAGGTCTCCAGATACGAAGTCAATTTATTCCATTCTTTTAGTAAATAGTTACTGAACACACACTCTGGTGCTGACACTGCAGGGAAAACTAAAGTACGGTTCCTGCCTTTGGAGAGAGCAGTGTAGTCAGCAAAACACCCGTGCACACCAGCAATCCCAGGAGAAGTGATCATTATTAGAATGGGAGAATCTACAAAGCCATTTGGAGTCACAGTTCTAGACGGCGTTACTTATAACTAAGAGATCAGGAAAAGCTCCTCATAGACAACGCTTAAATTGGAAAATGTAGTATGAGAAAGAATTCAGTGGAAAGTCAACAGAGGGCATTCCAAGAGAAAAGAAGACGTGGGGCGAAGAGCTGGGTTAGGGTAGTGCAGCAGGTATGGCAAAAAGAGAATGGGAGAGAGAGGGAAAGAGAAGTGCGTGACTCCGTATACAGTGTCATTATACAAACAGTGCGGTGTTCTAGTTCAGTGGTTGACAAGTGTGGCCCCCTGACCAGCAGTCTCAGCGTCACTTGTCCTCAGCCTCCTCCTCAACCCTACTGACTCAGAAACCCCGGGAGTGGGGCCCAGCTCTCTGCGCGCTTCAGCAAGCCTTCTAGATGGTTTTGATGCATATGCAGTTTGAGCACCATTGCCCTAGCCATTTAAGGCCTGATTATCAGAACAATATTTGCATATAAAGACATTTGGAATGTTCAAGAGGGCATGCTGTTATGTGCCATTAACAGTCCTAAAAGTTTACAGAATTGGGAGATGGGCTGAGCGAGTCTACTCAAGGGGGAGCCGTGTAGAAAAGCTGGGCTTTGAATTAGCTCTTCAAGGATTTTGTCTACATTAATGATGATCCAGGCAACGTGAATCCTGATACAGAAATAGAAGGACAGTTGGAAAGAGTTACGAATGTCAATATCCTAAGGAACCCTCTGTGGATATATGCCTGCCAGTTCTTCCCTGGCCATCGTTCTGAAATTTTAAGTAGGAGTGCCATATTATATTATATTATATTGCGCACCAGCACTGAGGGTTTAGGTGATGGTTTTATAGAGAAGCTTCACTAAAGAGAAATTGAACCCCAGGATTGTACAGCAAAGGCCTCAGCAGGTCCCACAGGGACCCAGGAGCTAGAATATCTCTTCAGCGTCATCTTGCCTTGAAGCAAGGGGGCCAGGCCTTCCATTACCTCCTCCACACTGCTGTCACTGGATGCAGCCTCCTGGGAAGGAGACAGACCCTGGTGAGGGGGCTTTCTTCTGACGATGGCAACTCCTGGGGAAGAACTTAGCTGAGTGGGGCACCTGGGTGGCTCAGTGGGTTAAAACCTCTGCCTTCAGCTCAGGTCATGATCTCAGGGTCCTGGGATCAAGCCCCACATCAGGCTCTCTGCTCAGCAGGGAGCCTGCTTCCCCCTCTCTCTCTGCCTGCCTCTCTGCTACTTGTGATCTCTGTCAAATAAATAAAATCTTTAAAAAAAAAAAAAAAAAAAGAGCTTAGCTGAGTATCACCAGCCACAAGACTGCAACATGGTCACCAACCCGGCATCCAGGATACTCGTGGTTCCCAGAATCACCTGGAGGGTTTGCTGCAGCACAGATCGTTGGGCCCCATGCCCACAGGTTCTGACTCAGTAGGTTGAGGGTAGGGCTCAAGAATTTGAATTTCTGACAAATCCCCAGGTGATGCTGATGCCACTGGTCTAGGGTCCCTACTTTGAGGACCACTGCACTTTATCTATATTCTTTAGAAGACATACCTAAAGATAATCGTATTAATCTTCTATAGCACTCACACCTTCTATGGCACTGTATGTATCACATGTCTGT